GTCGTCTAGCCATCACAATTTGAGGACAAAATGTTCGACTGCTGCCTAATATATCTCACCAACCGACAGGTGCCATGATAACCAGATAATCAGTGTTATTCAATTTACCTCTCAGTGGTCATAATGTTGTGGCTAATCGGTGTATGCAATCTGTAAAGTTCATTGCATTTACTAAATAAGTTTCTTTTTTCCCCCTCAGCCTGCCTTAGCTAGGTCTGCTACAGAATGAGACTGTAGCTGTGCTGGACAGCACAACCACACAAAATAGGCAAAAATGTGAAAGACAGTTGTGACCGTGCTGGTTTTTCTTGTCTATGATCCTGGCTTTTCTACTTTATGTGACTAGACTGTACCTAGCAGAGTCTTGGGGTTGGTTAGACCCAACTGGACCACTGGATTCTCCAGAATGGCCTGGAACAGCGGGCTGTTGGTGTCAATGCCTTTGTCCATATCTTCAGGAGAAGGTTTCCTGTCTCCCAGCAGCCACTCACACTGCAGGACGGAGAGACACAGTGTGAAACTCACTTCCCCTTCTGGTTTTCATTTTTCTTAATACCATAGCAGAGCAGTTAATTTGGATTATTACTCTTAAAAACAATCAAGTAAGTCCATATTGTTTAGTCTTGAACTGATTAAGTGACAGTGGTAGCAATGGCCAAACGTGGTCTGTATAAATTGCTGTAAGCAGCATAGCTTGAAGGTGAAAGAAAGTGAAGTCAATATGATTTATATAGCCCAAATATCCAACATTTGCCTTAAAGGGCTTTCCAATCTGATAATTCAGTAGCAGCACAAACAGCTGGCCAAAATAGAAAACCATTTCTCAAATCATGTATTTTTTCAGTAGCATCTCTGCTTGCAAACATAAACCTACCGCAGCATCCTGTTGGTTGTTATTCACCCTCAGAGCATCAATTACTTCCTTTTCATCAAACCCCATCTCCATCAATGCAATGACAGCCTGCAGAAAAAGACAGTGAGTTTAGTTTGACTTCTCAGTCTAATTGCAACAACATACACAGTCAGAGTCCTACAGAGCCTGGCAGCTGTCTTGGGAGAAAGACAGTTCATTTGTGGTGGAAAAAGTAGCTGGGAACAAATGGCAACTACAGTGGAAGTGTTTTGTTGGAAGACAGGGTTTTAATCACTTTTCTATTTCTGGGGATACTGGGAGCAGTGTTCCTCAGGAAACTGAGGTACATCAAGATCTACAATTATGGAAATGAGAGGACTGCGAACACACGCAGAGTGATATAAAAACTCTACAACTAAAGCCACTGACACACACTGACACAAGGGTCCAATATACACAAAGGCCAGCTACGGGAAAGTGTAACCCTGCCCATCCTAGCAGGATGTGAGCTCCAAGATGAGTTTTTGTAAACATAAGTAATAGTCAAAGTACTGTATGAAAGCTCCCACTGGATAAAGCCACTCACTCTTGAGTCCGGTCTGAACTCCCGTTTCCTGCGGATCCTCTTGAAGATCTCTGTGAGCTCATCCTGCCTGCTGCTCTCGTCTGTGCTTGACTGGCTTGAGAGACTGCGGAGAAGGTTTGGACCGGAGGCTGAGGCTGAGGCTGAGGCTGAGGGGCCTGGTGTGGCAGCAGCTGTGGCTCCCGCTGCCCCAGAAGAGTCCTGGCCTGGTATTGGTGCGTCTACAGAGGGGTCATCTACATGCTCGATAAGCCACTCCATTGCCTGGGTCACCGACATGCTGCAGAAAGACAGGGCGAGGTGAGGAAAAAGGTTGCTAGGATGATTATATTATAGTTGAGCTACACAAAAAATAAGAATTGTCCTCTGCAACCGGACAGTGATTCATTTGAACACTCTGAACTTCCAGAGCTGATAATAGATAAATGCTGACACATTACAAATAGTTTGGCTCATGTTGTGAGTGAAATGTTATTAAAACAATTCAGACTTACTGGTTCAATCTAAGAGCTTTGATAGCTCTGCTCTCAGGGAAACCCATCTCAGTGAGCTGCTGAAGGGCTGTTTCATCCACCCGATCCTCTTCATCTTCGTCCAACATCGCTACAAACAAAAAGAGATCCGTGAACAGAAACTAAGGGCTGGGCAAAATTTGTGAAATGTCATCACCGTAATCTGTTTTTACAACAACAACATAAAAGATATGTAAAACAAATACTTTGAATGAGGTTTACTTCATTGAGCTAGATAGCAAAAACAAAAAAACATCTCATACCTGTCAGAGTTTTATAATAGTGACTGTAGGATTATTGGTTTGGACTAGTAAGTAGTTTTAAGGGACTGTAAGCTTTACCATTGGCCTTTTTGAAGAGTTCAACAGCATCAGGGTTCAAGGCAAGAAGCTTCTGAGCGACTTCAATGAGGGAGACCAAGATTTTTCTTAGCTCTGTCTGAAACTGGAACACAAACACGTACACATAAATGCAACAAAAAAAATAAAAAAAAACAGCAAAACACAATTCTGCATTTTCAAAACTGTTAGAAATATTCTTATTTACAGAATCTGCATTTTAGATAGTAATGTTTTCTTTACACCCCATAAGGTAAATTAATTCCACCAAGTCCTTACATCTCTAATATTATGCTGGGTAACAGTGCGGTCAGTGTGGCGTGTGGACATGTTGGCGGTAGCTTTCAGAATTGCTTCTTTGTCTGGAGCCTTGTTGTCTTGTTTCTTCTGCGACGACCAGGATGAACAACAGAGGAAGATGATTAAAAGCAGGCGAAATAAAGACACCACATTCCTGATGCCGGTTGTGCAAAATGTGATTTAAACATAAGGACGTTTTGTTTTGTTGTAATGACACCAAAAGTTGATCCAGCTTACCTTTTCATCTGAACTAACGTCTGCCATCTTTGGAGGGGTTGGTGGTGGTCTTTTCTTTATGAGCAGCAATACGTCTACAACATATATGAAACATGGTCAGATCACAGAAAATAGTGTCTGACTGCCATTATCCCAAAACATATCAAATGGGGTGTTACATACCTTTATCTTTGAGATTTTCATCAGCGACAGTTTTAGTGTCGGTGAGGACTCTCTCTGTAGCAGCATGTATGAGTTTATGGTGGGTGAGTGTTTTGGGGTCTTCTAGACTTCCATGCACGTACTATAAACCAAGCACAATGTAAAGTGTCTTCAAAATAAACAGTGTACAGTGGGGATGCAGCTATTGGTTCTTTTCATCATCATGTTATCAATGACAAAAGTGACTTCTTCAAATTGTGTTTTTTGTCTGAACAGCAGTGCAAGTATTCAATTAAATATTAAAACATTAAAATAAAACTGACAAGTAGCAAATGCTCACATGAAATAAGCTGATACCTTTGGGTAGTTCTGGCATTTTTACTTAATAAGTTGCCTAAATGATTAATCAATTATCAAAATTGTGGTTGATTGATTTTCTGTCAGTAACTAGAAACACTAGGTCGATTAATTAGTTGTCAATAGGTTGATTGACAGAAAGGTTATCTGCAACAATAGTGATAATCTATTCAAATATCACATTACAGATCATTCTCCACTGTGAGAGTTTTTAACATTTTATCTTACGATGTTTTATAAACTAAATGACTTTTAAAATGCAGTTAATCAACTAGATGTTTTGGCACTAAGCCTATTAAAGTAACTGTAACCTAATATGAAATTCAAGCTTTTATCATGATGTCTGTGTCCATAAGTTGATGTTACACAAAATATGCCACTGAAAGTACATTCCCCATGCTGTCATGAGACAAACACTTTATGCTATAGGCCATAGAAGGACAAGTGAGATGAGCTGTGTAATAATAGACAGCCAGGAAAGCAGAATGCCTCTACGACTAGACTCTATGAAAACAGAAAAGGGGCAGAGTCGGACTGGTCGCTAACTTAAGAGGCATAGCCAACCCGCTAAATTATAAATAGCAAAGTCTACCCAGTTGCTATAAATACAAAGCCAGTGACACCGACACTGACAGTTTACACAGAGGGTACGGTGCAGTGCAAACACCCCGGGCAGAGGAGTGACAGCACAACAAAAACAAGCAGCCAGGGAGAAAACACAAACAACCCCCCCCCCCAAAAAAAACCTACATGTTTCAAGCACTTCTCCTTCAGTTTCTCAACAGTGGTGTCTTCCGTGACCTCCTCCAACCACTCCGTGCCGTCCATGGTGCAGATATGTATTTTCAACACTTTCCCGGCGAATATCTTCTCCTCCTGGACGAACATAGCTGCAGCCTTCAAAGTAAAGAGTACCAGTCCAGTGACGTTAGCTAGCAGCACTTGCTATGTGCTCCTGGCAAGTTAGCGTGCTATCGTTAGCAGCCAGCTAGCCGTCGTTTGTGTGAATCCGCCGACAACAGGGCGAGAGCAGGCGCCGATTAGCTCAGGGCCATCTTCGGTTTCCTCTCTATGTTTTCGGTGCGGTGGCAGCCGATTATTTTCCACCAAGTTGTGTATTATTCGCAGCGAACACACAGGCAGCCAGCCAGCGAGTACCCTATTTTTACTGTAATGTTTGAACTCTGAACTCTCACGGTGCTACTACCGGTGCATCATGGGAGCTGTAGTTCTGTTGAGTCGCAGGTTATTCCGTGGATGAAAAACAGACACTGTTCCTGAAATCACACCAGTTTTAAAAACACACTTACCCGGGGGGAAAAAAAACTCAACTTGCGATAAGAAAGGATGATTTAACATCCAGGTAAAGCCAACCTAAATATCAACAGACACTAGACCATTATCTTTGAATTCATAATTATTCTTTCCCCCAAAAATTATTTTTTTAAATGTCCTAAAGCCAAAGAAAATGTCTTGAAATGGCTTGTCTGATCCCAGCAATAACCCAAAAAACCCAAAGATATTCAGTTTAAACATATAAAAGAGAGATTACTATGATTTAGGAACCAGAGATTTGTGGCCCTTGACACACTGTAAACAGTCAGAAACTGGGGATTAATTGGGACCCAGACCTCTTTGTTTTGCCATAACAGGTTAATCCAGTCATAGCAATAAATCATGCAAAGATTTCTTTATTTAGTATTGGCTTTATCTGTTTGCACAATATACACGTTTCAGAAAGAGAGCAGCTGGACCTTTCATGAAGGTAAATGAATTGTGATAGATGTGTCACTAGAGGGAGACATAGTACGTAAAATATAGTTAGCAAATATTAAATATTAAATTGTTGCAGTGCCCAGTGTATGAAGAGAAACGTTGCTTAATAATAACTGAATGACATATTATTTGTTATCCATAACTATCAAAGGCATGGGCTTATTATGTGTTTATTGTAGTGGATCTATAATTATTTATCTGATCACTTGTTTCACAGTGTTTAAAGAATATATTGATCTTTAGAGATCTTGTACAAGAATATAAAGTAATAAAAGACAGTTCTCATAAGTTTAAGACACACAAGTGTCCTTTATTATAACAACAAACATTTTTACAGATTGAAAATGAAAAGGGGAAATACATTTCTTGCAAATTATAACTTTATAAGAGGAAAGAAACATATTGCAGATATTACAATTTTACTACAAACTAATATTTTTTTTAAATTATAATATTTTGCAAACTATACGAGGGAGCGTCTCATAAAGCGTTGACGTGGACACAACTGAGAACTTAGCCAACAGTTTTTTACCAAAATGTAACAAAAAAATTATAATATGCACAAATGGTTGCCTCACTTGAGTTTTATGTGTTACAGAACAGTAAATAAATATGAATTTATAAAACCTCAATATTTATGTATTTTCCCTTTTTTATGAGAAAAAAGTCTCCAACAATATATTGTATCTATTTGTATATAGTTCAAATTTATTTATGCATAAGGGACAGTAAAATACAAAATATATATTCTGTTCTGTTTGACATTTTAGAGGCTGTTGACTGGTGCGAGACCTATCAAAATTGCATGCTTAAGACATCAGATTTCTTAAACAAAATCTTGCTTACAAGGGAAATGCATAACATATTTACAAAAGGAAGAACACAGCCATAGGCTCAAACTAATAGGAGGGAGAGGGGAAATGAAGTTTCCTTTTCCCTCAGGACAACAACATACACTGTGGCCAACGGGCCAGTTCTCCAACACCACAGGACTAACAGATACTCAAGCCTGTCTTAACTGCCAATCTCCAAGATGGCTGTATACTGTACAACATATCACATCTCCACCACATCTCTACATACATATGAAGGCAATCAAATCTAGAGGCACAACATAATGTTGTTCAATTGATTCAAGACATGTACACAACTCTAGAGAGTGTAACTAATGATGTTTAAAAAGGGGGAAATTGTGGAAAACAGCTCCAAATCATACAGGACCTGTGTATGAAATACAGGAGTTCTGTTAACATTCGCAACTTGTTTATCACCGACTGACTAAGAATATTTCCCACACTTACAACAAACTGAAATAACACTGAAACTTAAAATGTGCTCTATAAAATGCCCCTTAATCACGAGTTTATTTATAAACAAGATTATACAAAAGAAAAAACAAAATATAAACAAAGGTTGAGAAATCATATGAAAAAAAGGCAAATACTAAAAGTCCTTAAGGAAATAAATACCCAGTGTGTATGCTGAGGCTTCACTGCAGAAAAGAAATACTAAAGGAAAAGTCTCTCTAGAGGACTTTCTTGGTCCTGCGTATGACCCAGCACCATGGATCCCCGAAATTTCTGTAAGCAGGCAATGCGTATAAATAAGGCATTAATAAATAAAAAGAATGAATGAAACACAGGTGTTGCTGTTAGTATAAAAGCGTATAAAATGTCCTATTAAATCGTGTTTACAGCTTTGCCCTTTTTCTATTTTTTTCACAAAGAGTGCCTTTTTTTTTAAAAAAAATATACAGCAGCTCATCTGGGCAAAAAGATACAAGCTTTTTATTTGAACTGTTCAGGTATATGTCCAATCTGCGACTGCATGCTTGTCGGTGGACTTGAAATGCCCTCTGACCAGTCGGACATGTTGGAATGAGGAGATGAACTTGACCACTGATCGGGGGAGCCGGGGGAGGGGGTCAGAAAGGGGTGGTCAGGCACCTGGACCTGATGGTTTGGGGTGTTGTCCATGGGGCCTGAATAGCTATGCTGGGAGGGTGGGGTGAGGAACTGAGTGCTGGGCATTGACTGGTTGATGGAGGAGGTCATAATCTGGGTCTCCTGCGGCAGGATGGTGTGGATGGGCATGCTGGAGCTGCCTGTGCCCTGCTGGAGCTCCGGGGAACTGAGCTCCACGCTGATGAAGTTCTGGCTGTTGGTTGTGTTTGAGTTCTGGTGCTGCAGCTGGATGCTCTGTTGTTGTTGCTGTTGTTGTTGCTGCTGCTGCTGCTGCTGCTGTTGCTGTTGTAGCTGCTGCAGGTTCTGTATCTGCTGCATCTGCTGAGCCTGCTGCTGCATGATGTGGGGCTGTGGACCCAGTCTGGTGCTCTGGATCCCCTGGTAGTTCATCATCTGAGATAGGCTGGTGGCGGGGTGGCCGTTGTGGAGGGAGGCCATCATCCCGTGCTGCCCTCCCTGATGCAGACCTCCCTGACCACCAGGAGTTCCTCTCATGGGGTTGAACTGGCCCGGCTGGCTCATGTTGCCGTGCATCCTGGACAGCCAATCGCATTGGCCGTTTATTGCACTCTGGCCACCGGAGCCAGACACGGGCAGATGGGTCAGTCGGGGAGGCAGTGGGTCAAACTGCATTCGAGCCAGCTCCTGCTTGTTGGGCATCACCATGTGGTTAACAGCCAAGTGTGGGTCGGACATACCCTGCAGATGGTTCAGGGATACAGATGGTGACTGCTGGAAAGGTGAGGTCATCATGGGCGGCGAGGCCACATCGGAGACATAGCCGTGTGGAGACTCTAAGGAATCAACTGGTGACAAAACGGCCGAGCTGTCCAGGAGGTTCCCGGACTTCCCGTCCTGCGAATTCTTCTTCTTCACCTTCATGTCTTTGCCCTCCTTGCAGCCGATGCCCTTGGCGCTGGGCTTGCGTGCCTTTTTGCCCTGGCCTTGACCTTGAGGCTGGGGCTGCTTCATGCCACCCATGTAGCCGTTGGGCGAGCAGAGAGGGGGTGACAACGTGGTGCTGAGTGACCCCCCATGCATGTGAGGACTGCGTACCAGGTTGTACTCATCCATCAGGCGCACAATGTCGTGATGCATCCTCTCCTGCGCAATGTCTCTAGGTAGCCGGTCCATGTGATCAGTTATTTCTCTGTTGGCGAAGTGGTCCAGTAAGACCTTGGCAGTCTCGTAGCTTCCTTCCCTGGCAGCCAAGAATAGAGGGGTTTCCTCCTGAGGCAGACAGAAAGAAGACAACATGTTAAGACGAACTCCAGGTTTCGGAAAGATGTTTCATTCTTGCTTTACAGAACTAAGAGGAGGACGAGAGTTTTGTTTTTTACCTTGTTGTTTTGCATGTCCTTGTTGGCACCGTTCTTGAGAAGCACAATAGCAGCCTCCACGTTATTTACTGCTGCAGCCCAATGCAGAGCTGACTTACCTGAAGAGACAAAAACAGGGTGATTAGATCTAAAGTGCTCTTTTGATGCAATTGAGGCTGTACGTTGGACTACACTAAATTACAATGATTTTTGGACTCATATAAGTGGCATAAAACAAAGAAACTTTACCGAAATCATCAATTGCATTGACATCAGCATGACAGTTAATGAGTTCCTCCACCATGCCTTCCACTGCCAGCCTGGCAGCCAAGATTAGGGGTGTAGTGCCATCATGCATGCGGGCATCCAAGTCTGTGGCGCGGTTCCTTATCAGAATCTACAGAGACATACAATAGGTTACTCTTTCTGAGCTAAACACGATTCAATTGTCATAATCAAAATTTCATACTTCAAAGGTTGAGTCAAATATTTTAATAAATGCACAATTTACCCTGTACTGAATGTGAATTCACCAATTTATTGTTCAGTCCAGAAAATGTCAGAAAATAGTTAAAATCTTAATTTCTTAGTTCAAGGTGATATCCTTAAATTGCTTGTTTTGTCGGACTAACAATCTTGAACAATGTTCAATTATCAGAAACATAAAAAAAAGAAAAGCATCAAATAAATTATTTAAATAATTGATTGATTGATTATGTGAATTGACTAATTCCTATTTTCAGCACTAATACTTTAACTATACCACCTAGGAAACACATTTGTTATATGACAACCCACCTGGAACACCCCCTGGGCGTCAGCTGCCACAGCAGCATGCAGAGGCGTCCTGCCCATGTTGTCCTGGATGTTGGCGTCAGCGCTGGCCTCCAGCAGGCGCTTGGCGGCGTCAGAACGAGCGTAGCGGGCAGCCAGGTGAAGTGCGGTTTCACCTGTACGGTCAGTCTGGTTGTGAAGGTTAGCGCCCTGGTATATGAAGTCGTTGATCACGTTGGCAGAGGCATCCTCCTCTTCCTCGCTGTTGCCCGTTTCTAAACCTCCCCCGCTGCAGGATGCAATCATCAGCGGTGTGAATCCATCTGGACACAGAGTGGAGAAAGGAGACGTGTTTATGAAAAAAA